TATCCATCGAAGGCCATGCCAAGAGTTAGCATCTTTCTGTAGACGCAGAACTCTCAGGGTTGTCTGTAATTCATCCATGGGGCTGCCAGAGCACTGTTGTATTTATTATGGTTTTGGAATTCAGTAAGACATCTGTGCCAAAGTTTAACTCCAATATTAAAGGCTTCTATACCTCATAACTGTTGGTTGGTCCCCAGCTGATTTACATAAGAATTCAGAGCTCAGATCTTCTGGAATATTTGACTCAGATTCTGGTTCCAGTCCTATCCTACCTCCACATTCTGTGTGTACCCACAAGGCAAAGATAGCTCAGTGGTCTTTTTGGTTTTGTGTTTTGAAATAGAGCCTCATCCATGTAGCCCAGCCTGGCCCTGAACTTTACATTCTTTCCTGCCTCGGTCTGCTAAGTATTGTGACATCAAGACAACCTGAGTTTGATCCCCTGGATACACATGGTGGAAGGAGAGAACTGATTCCCTCAAGTTGTCCTCTGCCCTCCACATACATGTTATGGCATGTGTATCTACATATACACACTCAAAAAAGTAAATAATTAATATGAAAACAACAAAAACGGTGAGTGGCTGCTGAGGAACAACATCCTAGCTGTCCTCTGGTCTCCACACACATGTTCATATTCACACAAGCACTAAATAAATCAATGTACTTTTAAACTCGATGAAAGTCGCATAAAATATATAGAGATGTAGATATATGGAAAAGGCAGATTCAAAATTTTAGTTATGCATTGAAACAAATTTTGGAGACCATTACACTTGAAACTGGGCCTCTCCCCCACTTCATGTCCTGGTGGCAGTGGGGAAAAGGTGAACCCAAGAAACATTACATAAAGAGGAGTGCAGCCTGTTTAAACACTAGCAAAATAGTCTAGATAGCATTTTATTTTTATTGCTAAAATAAGAAGGGCAAGATGGTTCAGTGGAAAAAGGCATTTGCTGCTAAACATGATGAACTGAGTTTGATCCATAGGTCTCACGTGCCAGGAATGAAGTGACTCATAGGGCGAACCTGTAATTCCACCACTCAGGAGGCAGGGACAGGAGAATAAGGAGTTCAAAGCCAGCCTGGGCTACATGAAACCATGTCCTTAAAAAAAGAGGGATCTAAAAGCTCTTTAGGGCCTGGAAAGATGGTTCAGCAGTTAGGAGTACTGGCTGCTCTTCCTGGGTTCTCACATGGCAGGTTCACAACCTGCTCTAACTTCAGTTTCAGGGAATCCTATGCTGCCTCCAGCCTCTCAGGGCATTGCATGCATGTGGTACACATACATGGCAATACACATGCAGGCAAACACTTGTACACAGAGCATAAGATTGTTAAAAAGTTCTTTATGTGTCTGAGTTTCTATTAAGAACTGTGTAGTACAGCACTCGGGAGGCAGAGGCAGGCGGATCTCTGTGAGTTCGAGGCCAGGCTGGACCGATAGCCTCCAAAACAATACAGAAGAAACCCTGTCTCGTAAAAACCAAAAAAAAAAAAAAAAAAAAAAGAAGAAGAAGAACTGTGTAGTATATTTGCTGCTTCACCAGCCCAGGATTCTCTAACAGGGGTTATTTAAGAGTTTTATTTAAATTTTTGTTCTAGGTAATGAGATGAAGTTTGAGCATTAGCTACAGAGAGTCTTAGTTTCAACCTGGGCATGATTCCACACACTTTAACCCCAGCATTGGCAAGGCTGAGGCAAGAGGACTGCTATGAGTTCGAGGCGAGCCTTGAAGGAAAAGGGTGGACAGGGGATTACAATCTCCAGAGCACAAGCTCCGTCATTCAGCAGGTAGAGGTACTATTGCAAAGTCTCACCACTGACCACCTGAGTTCTATCCCCAGATCCTACACGGTGGTGCCAGCAAGGTGTCCTGTGACTTCCACATGTACACATGCCCACACATTCAAGGAACTAAAACAATTTTAATAAAATAAAAAGGAATGTCAAGAATAGGCAAATTCACAAAGACTGAAAATTAATGGTTTTCTAGGGCTAGAGGGTTTAGGAGGAAGGGGGAGAGAGCCTACTAACTAGAACAGGGGTTTAGTGGGAAAGTGATAGTGTGTTCTAAAATTGTTGGGCATGGTGTGACAAACCTTTTATCTCAGCACTCAAGAGGCAGAGTAGATCTCTAATGGACTCAAGGCCAGCTGGGCTACAGTGAGTGAGACCCTTACCTCAAAAAACAGAGAGAAGAAGAGAAAATGTTCTAAAATTGTGGTAATGGATATACATAGCTTGGTGAATATACTAAGCCTCAGTGAAGTATACGTTAAAGGTACTATTTGTGTGGTTTGTGAATTATATCTCAAACACAGTGGCAGAAATACTGCACAATACAGTGTTATTGTAGGCATTTGGGTATAAACCATGGAACATGGTAGACAGACACTTGGAAGCCTAAGAAGGAAATTAGTGGAGCTCGGGGTGGGTGAGTGCCTAGCACCAACCTATTGACCCAGGCAATACTACTGAGACACAAGACTCTGGAAGGCTCTCTCCTCTCGGGCTCGCAAACACAGGCCACGGCTACACTTTCTCTTTCCAGCCAAGCTGGGCAGCCCTAGAAAGGAGAGCCCATCACTTCACCTCTACCTAGGCATGCTGCAGCCGACCTGAAACCTACGTGCTTTGAACTTTGCTCTTGGGCATGCGCTATTTGTTACATTGGTGGTGCAGGAGGACGGAACAAAGATGGAGATAAACAGGGGCACCCCAGATTGTAGGGCAGAGGTCACAAAGCAGGTTGATAAGGTGCAAAGTCCATCTAGAATTCCACTCTTTTCCCCACCCCTGCTGCCACTGTCTCCTAAACACTTGTAGTCTTCGTGACCTGCCCACACAGCGCAGGTTGCCACCAGACTGGAGGCAAAAAGCGCGCGGTTTCGATTAGGAGAGGGACTTCCCCTCCTCCTCCCCTTCAGTTTCCTCTTTTGCCAAAGCCCTTTACGGAAAGAGGAAGGGCGGTTGTTCTCTGTACCCATCTGCCCACAGAGATTAAATCAGCACGCCTATAGTCTAGTCCCAGTCTCCCAGTGAGGCTTCGAAAATAAATAGGACACCTTCTCGTTGCTCCGATCGTGACGTTACTTGTAACGTCCAGAAACTGAGGGTCAGAGGTCGCAGCCTACAAACACACAAGTCTCTATAGTCCGAGTTACGATAACATGTCAAAATGTTGTAGTTTTAAATTGTTTTATTTCTTGAAATTCTGTTGACCACATGCTATGCCTGGCTAATACAGCTGCATAAGTACAAGACAACTCAAAAGGTGTAGTTTGGATGTTTGTTTTGGGAATTTTACCTAGATTGTCACCATTTCAGAAAAAGCATCGCAGAGTCAATACTGTAACATTAGAATCAGAGCCATTGCTGGGCTCAAAGCAATATGGCAAAATGTGGTGCTAGAGATCACACACACACACACACACACACACACACACACACACACACACACACACACAAGAGCCAGGGTTACTGCCCAAGGTTTAACCAGTGGACACAGTGGTTGGGGACAGGAAGTTGGAAATATGGTCTTGGCACCCTGAGATGCCAACAAAGTTCCACCAGGACAGGTAGGAAGGGTCCCCTTCTCTACCTGCAGTCTGCCCTGGAGTTATGGGGTATTTTAAGGTTTCTTGTGGGGAGCTGGAGAAATGGTTCAGCAGTTTCAAGCAAAGTTTGAATCCCAGCATCTGTCTATAATTCCAGCTCCAGCCTATGATCTCCAAGAGGACTAGACTAGCCTTCACATTTATACACACATTGTGTACACACACACACACACACACACACACACACACACACACAGTTAATTGAAAGGCTGAGCAATTAAGAATACCAGCTGCTCTTCCAGAGGACCCAGGTTTAGTTCCAGCACCCATGTGATGAATGTGGTAGCTCAGATCCATCCATAACTCTAGTTCCAGGGGATCTAACACCCACAGCTGAACTTCATAGGCACCAAACATACATGCCTGAACATATGTACATGTATTATATACATAAAAATAAATGATTCTAAATTCAAAATAATAATTGAGTGAACAAATGAATAAGCTTTGTGATATAGGACTAATTATCCCACTTTGGTTTTATGGTGACTATTAATAAGCAATTGTTATAACAAAATACTTGACACAAGCTACTTAGTAAGATTTATTTAGCTTACAGTTTTAAAATTTCACAATTTAAATGATTAGCACAGACTCTATGCCAAAGGTTCTTCTTTTGAGCCAACAGCAATAGGAAAAGTGCATCAGGAGTGAGCAAGTGTTTAAATGTTAGACAAGCACAAGGGACATAAGGGGCCGGGGTTGCTGCCTTTTTAATAACCGTTTCAGAACTCAAAAAGATTCCCATCCTGTGAGAGTACCACAGGGCCTCCCACTAGACCCCACCTCTTAAAGGTGCAACCACAAAAGGGCCTTACAACTAAACTATCAAAATTAAAAGCTCAAGTCAGTTCTAAATTGATTAGCATTCCCACTTTAACATTAGCCCTTAGAAACTTTGAATTGGTAGTGGGGCTTTCAGACTGGCTGTGCTATAGGCCCAACAGAATGTAACAGGAAACACAGTAGCTACTGATGCCCCATCAGCAGTGAGAGCCAATCCTTAGCTTCTACATGCCAGTGCCTGCACACCAAAGTATCTGGGCTTTCGTCCTATCACATAGTCCTGTAGTAGAGCCAGCAATGTGTAGTGTCCACATGGCCAAGATAAACTTTAACATGTGGTTTTTGCTCTAGAGCTCCCGGTAGCACCAGTATTTCCAGAATCCCTACTTCGCTCTCAGTTCCTTCCTATTTGCTGTCATCAGCCATACCCGTACTGCTTTGCTTTGGAACCCTTTCTTAGTCATGTTCATCTAAACCCCTACTTCTGTTGCCTGCTTCTCTGAGAACCTAAGATACTCAGTGACTAGAACCACATGCACACTTGCAGACACTGAAGGCTACCCAGAAATCACTTCATGTAACACTCTGCAATGTCCAGCAAAAGTCCTTTTTTTTTTTTCCTTTATTTTTGAGTAAAAATAACAAAGAGGAAGTAACCCATGGGACTTGTGTGTTTTACCAAAAAGAAAATGTCTCAGGTTTCTTAGATTAAAAAAACAAAACAAAACAAAAACCCATTTATGTTGTGATAGACCAAAGATGAATAACTATATCTAACTAATAAGATGTACAGAGGGTTTGATATATGATCAACTATTGTTCTTCATTATATTTAATAGCAGGGTTTTTTCATTCAAATTATCAAAATCATTTATTTCTGATCAGAATACTCATTGATGCTTTATTATTTCAGATATCTAGGATGTTACTCTTCAATCTGTTTTTGAAAAACATGCAAAATTCAAAGTAGGTTATATAAAAGATGATGTGCCATTACTATTGCTGCTGTGTGCATAGACTGAACAGCGTATTAAAAGCTGAGAAATACTTCTGATCCAAATGAAGCATCTGAAAAGACAAAGGGATAGGAAGGAGGGAAAGAGGAAGTTAGTGGAGCATTTACTTTGTTTGTATTACAGATCTCATCACCAACGGGTCTAGCATCTGTGAGTAACCACCTTCTTAAAGGAAGTGAGTACTGGCTCCACCTTTTGGTGACTATCTGGACGGATTACCTATCCTTTCTAATACTCTCTCGCAAATCAATCCAGCTTTCCTAGAAATAAATATAATACAAGACTTAAACGAGACTTTGGCCCCAACATCCCTGGACAGTAGGATTTCCTGGAAAATCTGCATTTTCCACACTACGCTGAATCTAACAGAAAAGTCTGTGTTCCCCTCTCTCATGTTCCTAGACTTCCTTCTGCTACAGCTCTGATAGTGTGTTTACATGGAGTTACAACATTCTATGTCCATGTCTTTCCTTGAATGGTCTGAAAGTCTTTAGAAGTAAGCCTAGTGTCTACCCACTGAGACAGAATATGAGACTGAAGGGAGATGCATGTATCCCCAGAACTTTGTCACCCCATTCTTCTGGCTGAAGAGCAAGGCCACTGCCACACAAAGAAAGCAAGTGGTTCATTGTCCAAGGCCTTCTCAGCAGAAAGAACTCTTGAGATGGTGCAGATAACTGCAGGCCTCTCCCGGCCATATATTTAAAGTTGCTGTTTTCCCTTTGGGGGTTAGTGATGATGGCAGAGCCAGACGTGTAGTTACATGCCTTCTTCCTGCCAATCCACAGGATAAAGAATGTGACCCCCAAAGGCAAGCTACCTGATTAGTGTCTTTGGTACAGTGACAGTTGTGGTGTTAGAGCTGTCTATAAACAGCCCCTAGGAGAGTGAAGCAAACTATTATCTCCCTGCAGTGCAGGGAATAGAACACAAAGCCTGTGCATGCTAGGCCTACCCCAGCATGTGCTCTGCCTCCAGACACCCCTCTCCCAAAGGCCCATTTCTTCAGGTCAAGAAACCTACCTCCATGACGCTTGATTACATGTCTCGTTCTATGAAAAAAGAAAACAGAAAGAAAAAACATTTTTTCTACTACGAATTACTAACAGACATCCAAAAGTGTTAGCAATAAGACTGGTAGAATAAATAGGTATTGTTGCTAGCCTCGAGTACTTGTTGAGAACTACCCAGAGATCCACCCCTGTCTACAGTCTTCAGTGTCAAACCTAGCCAAGGCACTGGAGCAGTCCAGAATTGTAGATTCATGAGGGCAAGGATTGCAGGCCAAGGCCAGTGCCTTCCCAACATGCTCTTTGGCACTTTGTGTGCATTAGGTTGCCAGGAAATCTGGAGGAAGCCACAGCAGGAAGTCCGGGACAGTGGGTGCTGCTGTTGCTGCTCCCTGCTTTAACAGCAGTGAAGTACTCAGCAGGTGCCACTGACCAGTGCTTTGGGGGATCCCCTAACAATCTCGGTATGCAGGGTTATTTTTGAAATAGCAAAGCAGGATTAAGCTGTGACTTGACACAGACAGAGCTTCCAGAGACTGAGGAAGAAATTGAAGACTCACCCCAGGTGACCACCTTGGGCTCCTTCAGAGTTATGTGTGAAACTCTGCAGGCGTATTTATCAGTCGCAGTGGGTACAAACTCCCTGTGAGCCAAGAGATAGAAAGACCAGTCCTTGTTGAAGGACAGATCTGACAGCTCCACTTTGTCCATCTTCTCCCCATTCTTCAGCAGCTCGATTTCAATGTGGGGGGGGATGGAACTGCGACACATAGCAGTTCAGGAAGTTTGGTTTACCATCTTCAGGGGGGTGGCGGGTGTAGACTTGCACTTGTGGGGGACCTAAGGGTCACAGGGAAAGACAAATGATGACTTGCTGGGGCTTTTTCCTTGGAGATAACTGCATCTCAGTCTCCACCATGCCCCATGCCACAATTGGTCATCTATTTCTCCCAGTTCCATTTCTGCTCTGGAAGAGTGACCTTCTGCTTCCCCAAAAGGCTACCCACATGTTGAGAACTACATCATGACTTAGTATCTCTTCCTTGAAATCCTGTACAGGCCTTTGGTTTTTCCTACCTGGCTTGTAGCAGTGTCTTCCGTCACTAGAGACTGCTGGATTTTTTTTGTTTTGTTTTGTTTTGTTGTTTTTCGAGACAGGGTTTCTCTGTGGCTTTGGAGGCTGTCCTGGAACTCACTTGGTAGTCCAGGATGGTCTCGAACTTACAGAGATCCGCCTGCCTCTGCCTCCCGAGTGCTGGGATTAAAGGTGTGCGCCACCAACGCCCAGCTGACTGCTGGATTTTTAAGAAACTTTTATTGGAGGCTCTGAAGACCTGCACTGATCCCTTCTCTTAATAAATCCTATGGCCCAGCTACTTTCCAGATTTCATGTCTCATTTGGCACACCCACCCCCTACAGTATCCCCATCATAGTACCCATGCCCTTGTATACTGCATCAGCCTCTCACTCTCTTTATTTTTACCCCCTTCCTTTTTGCTTATTGCTCCTCCCTAGACTTCCTGACACATACTTTCTGATACAGAGATGAAAGCTGATCATTTGTCCCTCAGGTGGCAGATGTTAATATTATCTCCCCCTACTTAGGTTCCTATGCAAGTCAGTCCAGGGGCCAATCCTGCCACAGACACTCTCTGTTCCAGCCCAGAGATAACAGGCCAAAATAAAACTGATTTCATGAACTAGGAAACAAGCAATATCTTGTTTAAATATCTACAGAAGCTAGCAAAACTTTAAGTGGTTAAGTTGGGATGGATAAACCGCAGTAGGGAGAAGTGAGGGATGTGATGAAGGAGAAAGACCATACTCCACTAGAACTAAGTGGGCAAAGTGTATGAGAGTAGGATGTGGATTTCTAGTCAGCACTTTCAAATGACTGCCCTAACTAAACAAGTTGGGAATAATTACCTTGGTGTGTGTGTGTGTGTGTGTGTGTGTGTGTGTGTGTGTGTGTGTGTGTGTGTGCGCACACGCGCGCACCATAGCTCTTGTGTGGATTTAAGAGTCAGTTCTCTCTATCCACCAAGTGGAATCTGAGCTCAAACTCAGGCTTACTGGCTAGTGTCTCTACATGCTGAGCCATTTCACTGGCTGTTTTGTGTTTTCGCTGTCTATCATCCATCTATCTATCCATCATCTATCTATCTATCTATCTATCCATCCATCTGAGATACAGTCTTACTCTGTCTCCAGACTGGCCTTAAACTCTTATTGCAGCCTCATCAGGACTGAAATTACAGGCATGAGTCAACACACCTGGCATATAATACACATATACTCAGGGTATATGGTCTCTAAAGGGCAGCTACTTATTATCCACATATAGAAGGCAGTAGGGAGAAGGAAGAGTATCTGGGAACTGTGGCCAGCTGTATGTTTCTAGATGCTTTGGGGGAAAACTAGCCCTGTCAAGAATTAGAGTTAAGGTTTCAATGAAGCCGTGAATTTTTTTCTTGTAAAGTTAAAGTGAAGATAAGTCAAAAAACTTTTTAAATTTGAGGTTGTAGTGATGAGAACATAATAAATACCACAGAGTCAGAGGCCAGTTCACCCTGCCTAGAAACCTCCGGGAAAGAACGATCTCTCTTTGACAACTAAGACAAGTGTTGGGCCAGGTTTGAATCTGGTCTCTGCTCCTTTTCTACCTCTATGACTTCGTGAGTTATTATTTCTCAAGAGTCTTGGTAACTATACTGAATTATCTTTACCCAGAGTTTTCGAAACTGAAAGTAGATGCTTGGAAAGAACCAGGCAGCATGCCAACAAGGAAACCCTGTGTGAAGTACCAAGGGCTCACGGCAGCCCAGCCTGCTTTAGACTATGACCGGAGGGTTACGGTCAAAAGGCCTATTTTTTACCCCAGATGGCATAAATCGGCCTCAATTTCCAATCCCGACTGCCATTAATCCCTTGGATGAGTAAGTTATTTAAATTCTCGATGCCTCTGGTTTCCCATCTAAGAGACACAAGGAACCATGTTTACGTCGTAGGTGCAGTTTCAAAGTTATAAAGCTCTCAGAGTCCTCAGCATTACACAAAATTGTCACACCCAGTAGCTTTATGATTATTACTAAAAACATTAATGAGACAAGTTAAGTTAACGGCCGGAAAACTTTGGAAACAGCTCCGTTGGATCCCAGGTGCTCTAAAATGCAAAGGCTACTGGGTGGCCGCGGGCTGACTTCCCAGGTTTCCCGGGCCCCGGCTTCCGGGAGTCCAAGGTCCTCTATTCCGCACCTTTGGGGCAAGCCCAGCCTCCCGCTGTGCTCCGGGAGTCTGGGGGCTCCGGCAGGAGAGATGCGTTCCTTGTCTGTCCTCACAATCGCAAATCGGCCGCATCCCCACTACTGCCTCGAAGCAGCAAGAAGGGAGCGGCGGGACTCCCACCCCTTCCCCGGGAGACCCAGCCCTGGCCAATCCCGTCGGGAAGGAGAACTAAGGAGAAATCAGAATTAACGCCAGGAAAGGAGGAAGAGGCACTCACGCTGAATGGCATCCAAGCAGACCAGTGAGACAAGCATCAGAAAGACCACGGCCACGGAGCGAGCCATGGTGCACGCCGGTCAGAACAAAACGAATGTGGCCAGGGCTGGGCGCGCACTCTTATCCCCACGCTCGCAGCCAATCGGGACCCAGATCCAGGGGCCGTCACCAGTCTCCTAGCTGGTGACGCTGAACTAGGTTAAAGAAGGACTTTCCTATTTTCAGTTTCATGTTCTTATAAAGTCCGGTGATGCTTAGAAGAGTCTGGGCTGTACCCTCCATACTCTGCGATCAGGGTGTGCTTCTGAGCTTGGTGTACCTTGGTCGTTCTTCCTAGGGATTTCTGGACGCCATTCGTTCTAATGCCAACGGAATCCCAGTCAGAGAAGGGCTTAGGACCTGAAATTTTCATTCTTAGAAAGTAAAGCCAGAACAATTAAGAGCATTAACTGGCAGAACTCGAACCTTGAATTATAACTCCAGGAATACAAAGACAGTTGCAGGATTCAAGGACCCTCCTGTCCTAAGGGCTGCTGGCAGAATCTGGCTTGCTTCTCTCCGGTTTCTCCTTTGAAAGCTTTGGGTGGAGAACTTCCTCCAGTAACCTTGCTAAATTGAGGTAAATTTCTATTCCGTTGGTGAGTTTGGAGGAAAGACAACGGCTTAGAGCTCTGAGTTTCCAGACCATTCTCCTAGAAGTACCGCCCCAGAACAGTGCCATTGGTAAACTGAGTGAACAAGTGGCATGAATCCACGAATAAATTCTTTGTTTGGATAGGTAGATAAAACTGAGAGGCAGCCGGGCGTTGGTGGCGCACGCCTTTAATCCCAGCACTCGGCACTCGGGAGGCAGAGGCAGACGGATCTCTGTGAGTTCGAGGCCAGCCTGGTCTACAGAGTGAGCTCCAGGACAGCCTCCAAAGCCACAGAGAAACCTTGTCTCGAAAAACCAAAAAAAAAAAAAAAAAAAAAAAAAAAAAACTGAGAGGCATTTCCTTGGAGCCCTGCTTTATCCGCTTGGAAGACAAAGGCAGTTTTAATTCAGAATGTGTATTACATCAGCTGTGGACCCCTCAAGGAAGTTAAACTCCTGGCCAGAAGCGCATGACAGAGACAAGCAGCGAGCGGCTGCCTGGGCTCTGGAGACACCACCACCACAAGCAGCCAAGATGCTGCTGCTTTAGTGAGTAAAGTAGAAAGCGGAAGTGGAGCATGGACACATGGAGGGAGATCATGGAAATCACCCTAGCCACTTTGGGCTTCCCCAAGGAGCATGGCAACATAATCTCTGGATTTCTTTGACATATTTTTAAAACCATTAACAATCTCTAGTGTAGAGTCCGTGTCTAAACTAGAGAAAACAGAATATTCTCCATGGACCTTAATGAGATAATAAACAGATACCCACTTCTACAGTGCCTACCCAGCACACAGTATTTTTATCCAGTAATGTTTAGGATCATAACTATTAATGTTATTTTGCTATCCCTTTCTGTAACTTTGAAGTATAAGAAGAATTGTTATGCGTAAAGGTATGAACTAAGATACTTTCCTCCATACAGTTTTTAAAAAACAACTCATTTAAGACCTGAAATATTAATGCTAAATTGTGCTAAGCACTATTAGTGTTGAATTGTACTAGAAAATGCTTTAGGAAAATAGAAAATTACAAGGCTTTTTTTTTGTGTTGTTTTGTTCCTAGTTTACTATATCACAGAAAATTACTAAACTTAAGTTCATTAAAGACAAAGTCTTTTCTTTTCATTTACAAACCCAGTGTAAAAGCAGATAAGAAAGCAGTCACAGCCAGCTGGTGGTGGCGCACACCTTTAATCCCAGCACTCGGGAGGCAGAGGCAGGCGGATCTCTGTGAGTTCGAGACCAGCTTGGTCTACAAGAGCTAGTTCCAGGACAGCCTCCAAAGCCACAGAGAAACCCTGTCTCGAAAAACCAAAAAATAATAAAAAAGAAAAAGAAAGAAAGCAGTCACAGTGGGGAACCCGAGAGAGGCGGCACACACTCCAGTCCTGGGTACTGGGCAAGCTGAGAGAAGAATTGCTCAGGCCAGAAGTTCAAGACTAGTCTGGACAATGAGGTCTTGTCTCAAACAAAGAAGAGCCAGAAGACAGACATGTTTCCAGTTTTCTGCATGTGGAGACTTCTGCGTCTGGATAATGAGAATGAAAGGAAAAGAAAACTATTGTTTCAGTGATGAGTACTGGTGAGGCTGCCACCAAGCCTGACAACCCAGGTTCAATCCCTGCGGCCCACACGGTAGAAGGAGAGAACCAGTTCTGCAAATTGTCCTCTGACCTCTTCACACACTCACAAACACACTTACACATTCAGTCAACAAATAAATAAATTAAAAAAGAAAAGACAAGAGCCCCGTGTGTCTTAGGGGACCAACTTTGAGAATCTATAAACATGACAATTTTTTAAACATGACAATTTAATAGTATTATCTCCCAGGAGACCAATTCACCGGTGAATTGGTGGCTTTTTTTTTTTTGCCCTTATGATTGCCTAAAAAGATTTTTGCAGTCAATACTTCAAAATAGTAAATATTGGCAAGAATTGTTTCAGAAGAAATAGAATTTTATGCACTCCTTGTAGCAATGTATATGGTATAAATACTTTGAAAACAATATAATGATTTTATTTAAAGCAAACAAGTTTTGGGGCTAGAGAGGTGCAGGGTTAACAGCAGCTGTTGCTCTTGCAGAGGACCGGGGCTCAACTTCTAACCCGTATGGTAGTTCATAACTCTCTGTAACTCCAGTTTCAGAGGATCCGGGCATACACATGGTGCACATACATACATGTAGGGAAAATGTCCATACAAAGAAGTCTTTAAAAGTTGTTGTTTTTTTAACTGAACATAATAGACCGTTAGATCTAGCCTATGTACTCACCTGTTTTCCAGGGAGAAAAACAAAAGCATGTTATACAATGACTTGTATGTGAATGTTCACAGCTGCTTTGTAAACCAGATGTAAACCAGAAATTATCCAGACAGCTACCAACAGGTGAATGGATAAATACATTGTGGTGTAGATCTGTCAATGGAATACTATCAAGAACAAACAAGCAATCAATTAATAATACAAGAGCATGGATCAAATAATCATTCTGGGAGAAGCCAGATAGAAAGATGTACTCTGTATGAGCCTGCTTATATAGAACTTACTAAAGACACACTAGTCTGTAGTGGCAGAAAGCCAGTGAGTGGTTTTCAGGGCACAGAAGGAGCACCAGAAGTATGAGGGAGTGCTGGCAGTGAAAACTGTTAGTTATTTAGAGTTTGATGGTGGTTTCACAGATGTGCTCATACATTGTTATTCACCATATACTTTAATGTACTTACAGTATATTAATAATTATGGTTACAAAAGGTGACCCTGACAGGGGCTGGAGAGATGACCCAGTGGTTAAGAACACTTACTGCTCTTTCGGAGCATGGGATTTGCGTCCCAGCGCCCACACTAAGCAGCTCACAAATACTGTTAACTTCAGATCCAAGAGATCTGACACCCCACCCTGGTGTTTGTAGGCACAGGTACACATGTACAAACAAACAAACAGTAAATAAATAAACTCTTAAAAAAAGACAAACTCCCAAAGCACAGAAACTTATTGCTAGATTTTAAAAAGAACAAAGTACTTGGACAGAAAGAAAAGTAAGGCATTAACGTGGAGATATGAGAACAGGTTAAAGTTCATGTGAGTGGACCTCTATCAGCAGTTTTCTGAGACAGGTGTGTCTACATAGCGGATCCACTAGAAACAGTAGGGCACCTGTGCTGAGATCTTTCAAATGTTGTCCTCAGCCCCTTGCTAGTCAAAGCATGATCTAACAGCAGCACCAACAATATCTAGGAACACTTAGACATGCAGGATCTTGGGTCCATCTCAGACAAACTTAGCAAAATCCCCTTTAACAGCATCCCAGATGATTCATATATACACTAACAAATGTGAAACTGCTAACCCAAACTATACAACTGTTTTGAAGGTAGTCATTTTCATTCATAGATAAGAAAACTGAAACAGGAATAGCATATATATAGGGGGAAAGCATTCTACAAAATTGGAATAATTTCATGTATGTTTATTGAATTTGCCTGTTTTTACTATTTAGATAGTTTCCATGTTGTTATGCTATCAGAGGCTGGCTGGGATCCTTCCCAAGAAAAGATAAGAAATGGCATTGCCAATGTTGGTAGTCCCAGGCCACCGAATGTCAAAGGCTAATGGACTAGCCTACCAGGCTCAGAGACATTAACCTCTAAGCTCTGAGAACTAGAGACTTATTTCTAGAGCCAGGAGCCATATGTCTGAGGCTGAGACTTCTAGGTGCTTATGTTGGAGACTTAATGCTCTGTTGCGTTTTGATTGTCAAAGGCCAAGTATTCATCATCTAATGGAACCCTTGGTTTGCGGCAGCAGCAGTCAGTCAGTCAGTCCCCAGCAACCCCCCCCCCCAGCCTTTGATATGGGGATCTTCAGTGTTCAAGGGTTACCAGCTTCCTGGAACTCTTCTGGTGACCAGGACTCCCCCCTCACCTTCAGCAACTCAACTTTCCACCTTCTGTACTGTCTTAGGGTTTTCATTGCTGTGAAGAGACACCATAACCACGGCAACTCATAAAAGAAACATTTCATTGTGGTGGCTCGCTTATACTTCAGAACTTAGTCCATGGTGGGGAGCATGGTGACAAGCAGGCAGGCATGGTGCTGGAGAAATAGCCAAGTGTCCTTTATCTTGCAGGCAACAGGAAGTTGACTGAGTCACTGGGTGGTATCCTGAGTATATGAAACCTCAAAGCCCACCCAAATGTGACACATGTAGACAGACTTTTCTCTCCCTCCCGCAAGTTTCTGAATAACTGACACAGAGACTTAATATAGATTATAAATGTTCAGCTGATAGCTCAGGGTTGTTACTAACTAGTTCTTACAACTTAAATGAATCCATATTTCTTATCTAAGTTCTATCATGTGCCTCATGGCTTGTTACCTCATTTAGTACACATCCTGCTTCTTCTGTGTCTGGCTGGGGACTCTCTGACTCCACCCTTCT